GCACATCCCTGGGCACTATGGGACAACTTAGCATGGCCAATCCACCCTAACCTGCACATCCCTGGGCAGGTTCCTTCTTGCTAAACGATGTGATCCTAAATGAATACTTCTCAACAGTATTTACGATGGGGAAGGATATGGAAGGTTGGGTGACTCGGGGAAATAAATATTGATGTCTTGTAAAGAGCCGACATTACAGAAGACTAGGTGCTGGAGGTCTTAAAATGCACATAACCATTCAAGTGTATCCCAGGACTTTGTGGGAAGCCAGGAAAGAAATTGTGGGCCCCCTGATCAGAGATATTTGTATCATCAGTAGCCACAGGTGAGGCTAGAAGACTGGAGGTTGGCTAATGTTGTGCCACTATTTAAGAAAGGTTGTAATGAAAAGCCAGGGAACTATAGACCGGTGAGCTTAACATCAGTGTTGGGTAAGTTGTTGGAAGGGTTTCTGAAAACAGGATTTACATGTACTTGGAAGGGCAAGGACTGATTAGGGATTGTCACCAACGGCTTTTGTGCGTGTCTTACAAATTTGACTGAGTTTTTGAAGAGGTGGACAAGAAGATAGATGAAGGCAGAGTGGTAGACGTTTTTTACATGGTGTTTAGCAAGGCGTTCGAGAAGTGGGAGACTGGTTAGTAAGGTTAGATCACGTGGGATCCAGCCAATTGGATACAGAATTGGCTTGTCAGTAGGAGACAGAAAGTGGTGGTAGAAGGTTGGGTTTCAGTCTAGGGGATCTGTGACCAGCAGTGTGCAGCGAGGAACAGTGCTGGGTCCACTGCTGTTCATCACTAATATGATTGATTTTGGACGAGAATGCAGGAGGCATAGTTAGTAAGTTTGCGGGATGACACCAAAATTGATTTGTATAGCGGACGGTGAAGGAGGTCATCTAAGATCTTGATCAGCTAGGCCGAAGAATGGCAGAAGGAGTTTAATTTAGTTAAATTAAGCATTTTGGTAAGACAGACCAGGGTAGGACTTACACAGTTAATGGGAGGCCCCTGGGGAATGGTGTCAAACAGAGAGACCTAGGGGTTTAAGTGCATAGTTCCTTGAAAGTGATGTCACAGGTAGACAGGGCAGTGAAGAAGGCATTTGGTACGCTTGCCTTCATTGGATAGAGCATTGACTATAGGAGTTGGGACATCGTATTGTAAGTGTACAAGACACTGGCAAGGCCATGTTTGAAGAACTGCGTACAATTCTGGCTGTTCTGCTATAGAAAGGATGCTATTAAACTGGAAAGGATGCAAAAAAGATTTACAAAGATGTTACCATGACTGGAAGGTTTGAGTTATAAGGAGAGGCTGGATAGGCTGGGACTTTATTTTCTGGAGGGTAGGAGGTTGAGAGGTGACCATATAGAGGTTTATAAAATCATGAGGGGGTACAGATAAGGTGAATAATCAAGGTCTTTTCCCCAGGGTGGGGGAGTCCAAAACTAAAGGGTATAGGTTTAAGGTAAGAAGGGAAAGATTTAAAAGGGACTTGAGGGGCAACCTTTTCACACAGAGGGTGGTGCGTGTATGGAACAAGCTGCCAGAGGAAGTGGTAGAGGTGGATACAATGACAACATTTAAAGACATTTGGATAGATGCATGAATAAGAAAGGTTTAGAGGGATATGGACCAAACGCAGGCAAATGGGACTAGTTGAGTTTGGGAAGCCTGGTCAGTATGGGTGAGTTGGGCTGAAGGGCCTATTTCAGTGCTGTATGACTCCATGACTCTAAATCCTGTTTCACAGCGCACATCCAACCAGCCTGAATCTTGAAAACTCAATAAGATGTGAGAGTAAAGATCCTACAGAGTGGTTTTTCAGTTTGAGATGGGAAGAAGGTGTCTCCTCTTAATATCAAAGATATTGAGGATTAAATGTTAAATATTGCATTTCTCTTCACTTCCAGGAAGCGTTTGGATCTACAGCATCTACCAGCCGGATTATATTAACAAAACGTCCCCTAATTACTGCAATAAAACGTTATATCTTTTTGCTTTCTGGGTCACCACTATCATATATATCTTTCTCGGGCTTATGATGGTTTTTGGAATTTGTGCATGTGTTTTAGGTGGAACTGTGATTCTGACCAAGCATTTTTCAAACGCTTGACTAAAGAAAACCTTTGTCCCATTTTAATTTGAGAAATTTGCACCAATTTCCCAGCCATAAACTCTTGGCTTCCGCAGATGAATGATAGCTTTTAGCACTGCGTGTTTTGGACAGCTTTTGAAACAGGTTTCTCACATCTTTCAGTTCTGCACAACCTTCATCTGATGTTTCAGGAAGTAAACTGCACTTTATCTGTTCGTCATTGTGAAACCAATTGATTATGTTTTAAAAACGTTTTGGACTTGTCTGTGATACATTTCAAATAAAAAGCAGCTTCTTAATCAGCGACACCAGTCCTCTCCTTTCTCAACGAAGGATTTTTATAAAAATCTGACTGTGTCAATTTCAGATAAAGGTCGAATTCAGAAAGGCGAGGATTTCAAGTCAGCTAGGGATTTTATCTTTCAGACTATCATATCATAGAATCCCAACAATGTGGAAACAGGCCCTTCGGCCCAACAAGTCCACACTGACCCACCAACTAGTTCAGAGAAAGCGAGATTTCTGAGCCAGCACTCCAACTGATGTTTACTAATTCCTGTAACAGCTCGACAGGAGGGGAGAGGTGAGTGGGTATGGAATTATAGATTCAATATCCCATGATTGAACACCACAAGCCACTAACCAACCAGCATATCTAAACCTCTGTGAAGGAATAGGCTTGCTCAACTTGTTGCAAATTTAGCCTTTCACAAAAGTTCCATGTTTGCATGTTTAACTGAGAGTTAGGTTCAGAAGCTAAAGGAAAAATGTTGTGAAATTTGAAAGGATTCAGAAAAGATTTACAAGGATGTTGGTGGGTTTAGGGGTTTGAGCTACAGAGAGAGGCTGGATGGACTGGGGCTATTTTCCCTGGAGTGTCGGAAGCTGAGGGGTGACCTTATAGAGGTTTACAAAATCGTGAGGGGCATGGATAGGGCAAAAAGACAAGGTCATTTCCCCAGGGTGGGGGAGTCCAAAACCAAAGGTCATAGGTTTAAGGTCAGAGGGAAAAAATTTAAAATGGATGTGAGGGGTAACTTTTTCACACAGAGGATGGTGCGTGTATGGAATGAGCTGCCAGAGGAAGTGGTGGAGACCGGTACAATTACAACATTTAAAAGGCATCTGGATGGGTTATGAATAGGAAAGGTTTAGAAGGAAATGGGCCAAAAGCTGGCAAATGGGACTGGATTAATTTAGGATAGCTTGTCGGCATGGACGAGTTGGGCCAAAGGGTCTGTTTCCGTGCTGTGCATCTCAATGACTCTAAAACTGCAATGATGTGGAGGTGCCGGTGTTGGGACTGGGGTGGGACAAGGTCAGAAATCACACGACACCAGGTTATAGTCCAACAGGTTCATTTGAAAACATAAGTTCTCTGAGCATCACTCCTTCTTCAGGCGTTGGTCTGAGGAGTAAGACTCTGAAAGCTCGTGTCTTCAAGTAAACCTGTCGGACTATAACCTGGATGCTGTGTGACTTCTGATTTAAAGCTGCAAAACCTTCACAACTGGGAAAGCAATTTTATTCAAACAACAAAAAGAAATTGCTGGAGAAACTCAGCAGGGTCCAGAGCGCATGTGGAGAGAGAAAGCGGAGTTTATGTTTCTTGGGTTGCTGGATCCGAAACGTTAACTCCGCTTTCTCTCTCCACAGATGCTGCTAGACCCCACTGAGTTGCTCCAGTAATTTCTGCTTTTGTTTCTGATTTCCAGCATCAGCTGGTCTTTGCTTTCTTTCATTCGGCAATTCTTGTCAGTTTGACTTCAATTAACGAACCATGCCCTTAAGACCATCAGAAATAGGAATGGGAGCAGGCCCCATCAGGCCCCTTGAGACTGCTCTGCCACTCAATAGGATTGTGACTCATCCAACTCTCCTCCCGTCCACGTTCCTGCCCTTTCCCCTGTAACCCTTGATACCTCAAATTATCAAGAATCTGTCTCAGTCTTCAATATACACACGGGACTCTGCCCCGCACAGCTCTCTGTGGCAGGGACTTTGAAAGGCGCACAGCCCTCTGAGAGAAGAAATTCCACCTGTATTAAAGCCATGAAAACTGCAGGGCTAGAAATTTGAGCAAAGTAGGACATTTCACAGGGCAAATAGGACATTTCCTCACAGTCATAGAGTCATGCAGCACAGAAACAGACACTTCGGTCTAACAAGTCCATGCTGAACATAATCCCAAACTGAACAAGTCCTGCCTGCCTGCTCTTGGCCCATATCCCTGCAAACTTTCCAATTCATGTACTTATCCAAATGTCTTTTAAACGTTGTAACTGTACCTGCATCCATCACTTCCTCTGGACATTCATTCCACGTGCGAATCACCCTCTGTGTAAAAAAATTGCCTCTCATGTCTTTCGCTCAAAACAGCTTGCGCTTGCAATGAAATTGCAGTCAATTTACTCAAACTCTCACAGGCAGTTTCAGTGCCGAAAGCCAATCAGTCCATCACAGCTGTACTAGCTCTCCAAGTTGGCAATGCGCCCAGTGTGTCTGCCCCCTGCCTTCTCCCACAGGCATTGCATGTATGTCCTTTAATGGTGATTTCAGGTTAGCCTGCCTGCACCACACTCTCAAGCAGCACATTCCAAACTCCCAACCACTCGCGTTGAAAACATTTATCCCTCATGTCACCTTTAACTGGTTTTTACAGGTTCCCTCAAACTTGCGCCCTCTCAGTGAGACTAGGAGCAGGTGTGGTGCTTCGGAGATAAAACTGGTCCTCGACAGTTTGGATCTCCTCTCCCGCAGGAAGTGTGAGCACTCGGTCACAGAATTGAATCTCAGATCCATTCAGAAATGGATGCAGTGCACGATGAAGACTGCACTGCGCGGTTTTGTAACCTCTGGCCATAGTCATATGCTGCTGAAATCGATGTTGGCTAACACCGCTCTATTTAGGTAAGATCGGCTGAGGTTACCGTGAATCATGTCATCAGACTTCCTACAGAGTGGAAGCAGGCCATTCAGCCCATCAAGTCCACAAATGACTCTCCGAAGAGTATCCCACCCAGACACCCCGCCCCCATCCCT